GATTAGAAGCCAAACAAACAGCCTTTTTTTTTCTCTCCAACAAAAATGAACACAACTTCCACTTGTGTCTTTGTTTCAGGTTTATTGGCAGTTCTGCAAAGAGATGATTGGAGCATTACTGCCGTCAGCTGGTCACGAGTTACAGGTAATTAAATAACACGTTAACAACCTTAAAAGCAGTTGTGTTCATTTGAACCTGGGACACTGGGAGTCAGTCAGAGTTGGAGGCACTGAGAGACAATTTCTATAACAACATCTTAAAAGCAGCGCTGCATTAGAATCAATGATCTTTAGATTTATTTTAACAGCCACCAACATTTTCTTTTCTTGATATAAATTGTACAAGATTTTACAGAACAGTCAATAAATTTCACTTCAGGAAAATTAAAGAAACAGATTTGTTTTTCAGACCTATTCAATCCCTGAAATCATTTCTGTTCACTTCTTATGTTTGAAAAAAAAAATAATAATAATAGGCCTACTCTCTAAAAAACTTTTTTCTTTCAATCTGATTAGTCATCTTTTTCTCCCTTGCTGTTACAGCCTCTTGCCAGTAGGTGCCCCCCGTAGCTACCCCACTTCTTTGTTGTTTAACATTAACCACTGGGAATTGGCTCTAATCAGCTACTTATCTAAAACTGATTCGTAATCCCCTCAGTGACTGTAAATCCTAAAACAAGCTGGTTATTCTCATGGTTCCACAGTTTAAAAAACGTTTTTCTTACTAAATGACATTGAACAAAATGCAACACAACTATTTTGAAATCTGCATGAGATCCTTACTGACGTCAGTTTCACAAGCAGAAGGCAGATTATCAGCAGTTCCATCAAAAGCCACTGTTGGGACTGAAGTCTTTATTTGCTCCTCACTTTGTTGTGTATAATCAGAACCTCCAGAACCAGGACAGAAGTAATGAGTCAGCAACAAGTTCCAGGACTGAAATCTCGACAGGTTTTGTCCAGGGACATTTATTCAGGGAACAACGAGAGGGAGTTTCTTCAAGTCTTTTTGCGGGATGATGAACCAACTTCCTATGGTCCTTGTCTGGGCAGCCAAGTGAAGTTCCACCTTCCGTCTGTGTGCTTTGAGACGAAGGCTTGTCCCTGAGGGAAGCTGTGGGTCTTGACGCTGCTGGACGGACTGAGCGACATAGTGAATGCCAAATCTGTCCGGCTGCGAGGCGTCCCTGGCGTGGCTGGAGGCTGAGAGCCTGCAGACGGGCTTGTTGGGCTGCAGCCTCGAGCAGGAGTACAGGGTTGGGTCTGGACTGGACTTGAAGACGAAACAGGAGAAAATGTTATTCTTTTTACTGGTGGACTGAATGTGTCCTCTGATGGTGTCTGGCTGTCTTCCTGTGAAGACCAGTAAGCTGGACGGTAGGCTGGGTGTCCGTCCAGAGACTGCGTTCGACTGGAGGCAGTGATGGAGCAGATCTCCGCTCTGTCTGGGGACTTGGTGAAGTTCTCTGTTATTAGAGGGGACTGGAAGTTGGTTAATGCATCGAGGCTCCTGATCACAGCCGCAGGAGCTTCCAACCGTCCGCTCAGTGGCGTGAAGTCAGAGCGCTGACCTGGAGGAGTTGTGCAGTTCTGAGATGACTCGGCAGGATAAGCACAGTTTGCTTCTTGGCTTTTGGCAGCATCGTACATGTACTCAGTGTGAAGTGTTGAGCTTTGGCAGCAGCTGTGGGCAGAGGAGTGTGTCGCAGCTGAAGGGCTCAGAGAGTTTAAAGTGTATCCAGAGGACGAGGAAGACGTGACCGTGGCATCATAAACTGAACTTCTGAGGCTGTGTCCAGGTGAGGACAAGGATTCGTTGGATGTATCGATGGTGTCTTTATCCTTCAGTCCGAGTGTTCGTAGAACCCACAGGTCCAGATTTGGCTCTGAGGAGACGGCAGACGATTCGGAGGACTCGGAGCTGAACTCGGCAGTGAGGTTCCTGCAGACTCTCTTGCTGACCTGTGGAGGCGCTGTGAGCTGATGACCACAGGCCTGGAACGATACTTCATCGTACATCAGGTTCCTCTTCAGTTTTCTCCTCCCATCAGCTGATAGCTTCTGTCGAGGGAGCACAGAGAGAGAGGCCGTGAACTCCTTCAGGATGGAAATACACTGAGGTTTAACAGTACATAAAGTTTTTAACAAAAAACTGAAAAACTTTCTTTTTTGCTTTGGTGCTGCATTTAGGATCGACTGGGAAACTTCAGTACCCAAGACTTCAGACAAATAGATTAGATCATAATGTGAACAAAGACAAACTAAGTTCAGTCATGTTGAAAATGTGATTGATTGATTGATTGATTGATTGATTGATTGATTCTTGTGTGGTCATTAAAAAAGATGGAACACAGTTTGATGATGGTGAACAGACTTTAGCTTTGTCCTCGAGGTTCCTGACGAATGAGGAGCTGAGAAACTCTCGGAGCTTGTTGTTCTCCTCCTGCAGACGCAGCAGCTCCTCCTCTCTCTGCAGCAGAACGTCCTGCAGCTGGACACACAGACAAACATTAATGATACATGAACGATAAATTAACACACAGCAGGAAGTAGATTGTCTCCTCCATTTGGTTGCTTAGTTACAGAAAATACTGTGTTGTTGATGATGTTGACGTGTTTGTACCTGTTTGTTTCTCTGGATGTGAGGCGACAGCTGTTCCATCCACATCCGACCAGCAGGGGGCGAGCAGCTGAAGACACAGTGAGACTCTGACACACACACACACAGAGAGAATAAAACATTACTTCTAAAATATCTCTCGTCCGACTTCACATTCTCCACCTGCTCCGGTGACCAAGTTCTGCTGTCTGCATGTTCAGCACCTAGTGGCCGTCAGAGGGACTGCACCTGTCGACTCCGACACTGAGGTTTTCCCCGTCAGCAGAAACGGGATCATATTTCACTCTGAGCAAAGCGACAGGGAGAAAATTTAAAAATGAATCTTCATATAAACAGTTGAGGAGCAGAGACAGGTCGGTCATTCAGAACCTGTCGGGAGCGTTTTGGTTGGTTACCCAGAGTTCACCGAGACAAACTCTGGTGTTTGATGAACGAGTCGCCGCCGTGCACACGGTCGCACTCTGCTGAGCGTGGCCTCAGAAACACTGAGCTCTGATTGGCTGGTTTCATGTTGTTGAGTTTGTTCTGCTCTAAATGTTAAAAGATTAATAATCAGCAGCTGATGCAACATGAAAGCTAACACATCTATTAAAGGAACAATTTCTTCTACGAGTTACGACGCTTAGATCACTTAGCTTAGCTTTCTAGACACACTTAGCTTAGCTTAGCATTGAGTTACAAGTTACTTTGCAAGTAAAGAAAAAAATAACAATCATCCATTAAATGAACATTAAAGTCAATGAACTCTCGTCTAAAGTAGCTGAGATATTAAACAGCTGTGTGATAATTCTATCAATGAAAATTCATCAATGTACAATGTACTA